TCCTGTACCTGCCATCTAATTTGGAGTCAGCGGTCAAACGCATTGAGGACTTGGAAAAGTTTGAGGCGGTCACATCGGTACCTCGGGAGTTCATGGCAGTGGGGCACAATGGTGGGAAATAAGTCTGACATTATGGGTGGCACCGAGGCCAAGAAATGAAACGATCGTGGCGCCCGATTTATCGGTTCCAGCACAGACTATCCATCCGTCCGCATAGCAGGTCATACAGCTAAGGCGCACGATGATCTGGTGAGTCCAATCAAAACATGGCATTAAACATCCCAAATTTTTTCTGCTAGTCGGACGGCCAGGACACGCTAATAATCGAGTTAACCATTTGTAATCTCATATGCTTAGCGCTTATAGACACAAGTGAGCCCCTCACTCATCCAAAATTCGGTTCTGCGCGAGATGGAGGGGTATACCACGAGTCCGTGTTTCGAGCGCCTCGCTGCAGCCAGCGGTTCGCCGATATCCGTCTTGAGAACTACGGTCGCTAAGATAGCACTAGCGGGTCAGGAACGGAATCATCTCATGATCATCGCTGAAGGTATCCCATAAACTGTAAACTTGGGAATCGACGTGTTACGTAGATGTGGATGCATCCTGAACCTGAATAATGGTTGGTGACCCCGACCCTCTCGGTTCCGTTTATGACACACAGGCCGAGAACAAAAGGTGGGCGTGCACTGTGTATAAACACAGCTGCGTCACCAGTGGAGAACTATATCGAAAAGTTAGCGAGGGGACTGAGGCACAACTATGATGACGGAACCATAAGACAGCTAGTCAGTATTATCCGAGAAAAATCCGATGTTTGCCTGGACTCAAACTGACTTCGGGTGGAGTGCTGAAACACCAAATCGAGACGGATTTCTCAACGGGATCCTTCGGCTTCCCAGAGCCTGACTAGAATGCTGTGGGACGGTGTATAAAATCCATTGGGGACCGGTGTCCATCTCATCGGATCATACACACGTCAATGCCTGTTCGATCTGGTGATCACTACCACAACCAGAACGATGTATGCAGTTGGTATGCCTCTTCTTAGTTGGTCTGAAATCAAGAATTCTAGCCATCTGCTTTAAATGAACTACTAGTTGTTCACTGACCCGGCTACAACTCCAGATATTGGCTTTTCAGACTCTCAATTCGATGGAGAAACTCCTCCGTCACGGGAAGGTGGTGATTAGGACTTTTGCAGCGGAGGTTGTGACGATCCCAGCTAACGGGATAACGACACGGGGCAACGCGTTGCAGCTTCTGGATAACGAACCACAAGGCAATCGTACCGACCAATCAGAAGTTCGGTTCAAGCAGAAGCTGCATAACTTCAGAATTACAAACAGATCATTGGTAGAGACCTTTGTGCATGTCCTTTAATCATTGATTTTGCTCAATAAACTAGCCGCTACTTCTGTGGGTTTTTTCCTTCGTCTCGGTGACGGAAGATTCCAACGTACGATTGCTAGTTCTTCAGTTACGACCGTGATTCGTTATTTGTGCTTATCTTCATTATTACAATTTAGCCCCGCCTAGTGGAGCTGCCAGTTATCGAGCAATTGAACCTGTATGCCGGTCCGTTCGAGATCGAGGAATAGGTGGAGCGGTTTGATCTGTCGTACAGCGTTCGCAAAGGTGGCCGAGCAGAACCAATCGGTTCTATTTCTCACTGCTGGTGGCTGTGACCTCTATTCCCTACTTAATGACGTGGTATTTTCTGAGGCTCCGGCGAAACTTCCATACGACTCCCTGAAGCGACTGCTGCTTGACTAACTGCTGCCCACTGAATTCCATGCACACGAAAGGGTCATATTCGATTTAAAACGTTCAAAAGCATCTTGTGATGTTATCCTCCAGTTGAACAGTCAGGCGGCATGTTGCGATTGCGGCAATTGTCTGGAGAAACAACAGTGTCACTATCTAGTGGGAGGTATTAACAACTTGACACTAACGGAAATTGCTGAAAAGTACCTGACGTTCCCAGAGGCATTACGGTCTGTGAAAAAATGATCTAATACAAGCAACGTCCAGAGAATCGGACACTATTCCAACCGCATGGCCAGAAACTAGTGCGTTCTCCATGCATCCTAGCAACATCGAGACACTTCTGAAGCCGATAAACCAATTAAACCACGCCTGCCGTGTGGAGCTTAACAGCTGCGCTTCACGCATCGGTTCTACTTTGCCAAGTGCAATAGACAAGCGAAAGTTATCTACATACAGAGTGTGCAAACAGCTTCGCTGTAACCTAATACAGCCACCGGGCCAAATGAACACAACCCTGTGTTTACATTACGAGCCCAGGATCAGTGTATCCAGTTCATATGCAAAGATGTAGTACTAGAGTGCGGCGCGCAGCAAAAATCCAGTGTGAACACGGGAAATGTGGAATTAATCATTTCTCCTTGAGTATCGCGATCGATTTGTCCCTAAGCTAAAGTCCGTACGACACCTGTGCAGATCTCCTGCGTTGCGAGACAAACTGCCTTTGGTAGGTGAGGTTTCGCTGATGGTTTAGTTAGCAAAAGAGTGTTTGTTCCGATTCGCCATCATGACGAGTCTGCGTCTTAACATAGTGATGGCTTGCGCACCTCTCTGACCCAACAAGCTACACAGGATTGCTTTTGTCAGAAGAAAGATCTGATCATACCTGGAAGGTCGGACGGTAGCGATCAGACAAAGTCCAGTCTCTTGGTCTTCCATGTTGAGAGTTCGACCGAAATCTGCGTTACAGTCGGTAAAAAAATGGAGTAATCGATCCAAGTAAACGGACTCCCACTTTGCCTCATCAGGTGCCTTGCGGCTAGGTTCTTGTCTGAAGAAAAGGCTTTGGACGTGAACCCTAATCATTTCCCTGCTTAGTGACTGAACTTCCTAGCATTACCCGTCCATCAAACCCCAATGCTGCGAGCCTCGCGCCTCGCTCGGCTCAGCACTAGCTTCCGGGGTTACGACTCGATTGAAAATTTTCACGAGTCAACCTGATGGGACTCAACCAGCTCGAAATAATTGTAGTGTCCTAGTTTTCCTGTCTCTCCTACCGCCTAGTCCAAATGGATAACCAAAAGGCAGCCACCAAAACCTGCTCTTAACTAAGGCATCTTTTTGATCAATCTGTGAAAGTGTGCAGACGTTGAACGCGCCTCAGTAAAACGGCAATTTCCTCTTCAAAAGTCGTATAACTTTCGATTTTTGACCCCACTGGTAAAACGCTGAGTGATATCCGATTGTTGGCACAAACAGAAGGCATCTGGAACTTTTTCGGATTGAAAGAAAGAACTAGATACATGGGGAAGAGGTTTTTCCAAATGGCTGCCTATGACTATAGATTACTAAGACTAATACTAATTACTAAGACTGTAGACTACAGATCTCAGCTTCATGCACCGTGGATCGAACAGCTACTTATTGGCTTGGAACTGCCCAGCTTGGGTAGGCGGTAGCTGTCCAATGAAGTGCAAAGACTTTTCCTTCCGTCGAGGGAAATCCTTAGGTACCCCCTATGTTCTATACCCATCTAGTTGGGGGTTTTGACTGGTAAGCTGCTTCTCACCGTGTTTATTTGTTGGAGGGATCTCCCCCACGACTAGAGTGGACATTCAAAGGAACGCAGCCGGCTTTGTGAGACAGTCTTGTTTGGTCTCTATCCATTAATTTTTCAGGTATATTTGGGTCTGCTGCTGTGAATGGCCATCCTGTTTAGCTCGCAGGGTCATGGAGGCACGCAGATAATCACAATACATCAAGGTGCAGTTTCGTTGTGTTTGGAGCGATGAAAGCTCCATAGTCACGAAGATCCACTGTTCATTGGTGGTGAACCACATAAGGCCTCGCTTTCATATTTTAATTTTGTCTCGTCAATCATGTATTACTTATTATGAATTACTCTATAAAGACTCGAGTCACGTTTGTTTCGGTTAGTAGCATCTAACTCACCTACAGACCACTGAATTGATTCTTCAACGGACTGGCTCTGAAAGAGCAGTTTATCCAAAATCACCCGGTGTTGCAAACCAGGTTATTGTAGCGAAAATACACTTCCTGGGTACGAGTATATGACAAAAGATTACCAGATGCGCATGCTTGATGAGCGACAAGAACCGCGAAACCGGTGGTGTGCTTCCAGGGAAATTTTGTCCAGTGATTCACGTACTACTTATTATGAAGTATGTATATATATATATATCCGTGTTTCTCACTGAAGATCACGTACACGGTTGTGCAAGTTGAATGAAGGTGACGGAGTAAGACCAGTAAATTAGGACTTGGCGTAAACTGAAATTATTTTTTCCAAGGCGATCTTTATAAAAACAAAATCTTGCGAAACCTGTTGAGCTGGTAACCTATCTCATGTGCGGTAATTCGTTTGAATTTACATTTTCAGAAACAAGCATTCTATGGACGAAATCGATTCCGCGACACCGATTAAATTACGAATGAAGGGCGATGATATAGGAATCGCCACACCATCTGGCGGTCTCATTTTCAATCCGTTTCACAAGGAGTTCATCAGTCGAGTCGGCCAAGTTACATTTAGTCCTGGCATATTTTCTTACAATGCCAGTCCGATGGATAACAAGAGTGATTCTTGCAAAAGTACTCCAAACAGACTAAGTTTACCGTTTGTACTATCCCCGGAAACCCAAGGCATGTTGTTCCCTGCTGATATTGATGAAAATCCCATACTGCAATTGAAGTTGCAAGAAAAGTTAGATACTCAGGTGGGTGACAACTGGTCAAAAACAAATTGTTGCTCTGATTGCACAAACTAGTCAGTATTTTACTGTTATTTTTTATGGTTGATCCCCGATCTCTCTCTCTCTCTCTCTCTCTCTCTATATATATATATATATATATATATATATATATATATATATACTGCAATGGTTATGAGACTGATAGTTTCGTTTATTTTGAGGTAATTGTTTTATTATGAAAAGATCAGTTACCTTGATGGGGTTCGTAATGATGCATGGATGCCACCCTCATATCTCTACATCGTCACCTTGTCAGCTAAGCTGCTTGCAGTACTTGTACTTCTACTTTGGATTTTCACTCAGTTGACAGAGCTATGTGGAGTTGATGTGATTATAGCTTTCGCGAGAGTAATGATTAGCATGGTTATTTATTCATCAGTAATGGTGTATTATTTCATGTTTCAAGTTAAGAATATTGTCTACCCAGACACAACCATGTTCCGGTCTTGTGGTTTTTTCTATCANGAGTGAAGAATCGTAAAACATGCGTAGTGCATAAGGTTTTTCTTTACCAGTGTCTAGTTAGTTATTCAGAGGGTTGCGTTTTGGTCCTCCTCCGGCCCCAACTACAGCTTTGCCGACAAGGTGCACAGATCGATTAAAATACTCAAATGATCTGGCAAACCATTTACCTTTTTCATTCTTATAACGATTGAGAAGAAGAACTAGGCAGATGGGAAAGATGGTTTTCCAAAAAGGCAGCCAAAAGACAGCAAGCAAAACCGCCGCGTGAAGGTGCATGGTTAATGGTTGTACAAACTAAACTGAAATTATGAAGATTACCGCAACGTGATTTGTTTGACAGTCTCAACTTAGAAGTATGTGAAAATATACTA